TTCTAAACAATGATTGATTTCAGCTGTAAATGAGGAGAGAGAGAGAGAGAGAGAGAGAGAGAGAGAGAGAGAGAGAGAGAGAGAGAGAGAAAGGAATATAAAATATAGGAATATAGGATAGGGGCTAGAGAGGTGGCTCAGTGGTTTCAAGTGCTCACTGCTCTCACAGAAGACCCACGTTGAGTTCTCAGCACTCACGTTGGATGGCTTACAAGGGCCTGAAATTCTAGCTCCAGGGGATCCAATGCCTCTTGCTTCCCAAGGGCACCTGCACTCACATTCAAACACACTTACACATACACACATACTTAAAAATAAATCTTAAAAAAACCCAAGATGGCTGAGCAGGTGGAGGCAATTGCTTTGTAAGCCTAATGACCTGAGTTGGGTTCATGGAACCCACGAATAGGTAGAAGGAAGAAAACTGATTTAAAAATGTATCCTTTGACTGACACATGTATGCTGTGGCATGTCTACACCTACATACACAGTGAATGAATGAATTAATGAATGAATGAATGAGAAACTAATATAGGTAGAACTTATATTTGATAAAAGTGAAATGTTATTGACTGAGGACTTCACTACACCATGCTCTGTAGATCCACAGCATCATAATAAGCCTAGTGTGGTGGCGCAGGCCTTTATCCCAGCACTCAGGAGGCAGAAGCAGCCAGATCTCTGTGAGTTCAAGGCCAGTCTGGGCCCCAGAGTGAGTTAAAGGAAAGGAAAGAGCCCTCAGGTTTATGCCTTTGATCTTAGCTGTCTGTCCTAGCCAGATGTAATGCTGAGTGACATTCGTCAGCATCTGACCGTGAGGGTAAGAACACAGGTAATCCTGCATATTGTTACAGTAGCAGCATTCAGTCCCGCAAGCAAGCAGTGGGGAGTTGGCTCAGTTTTCAGCTCCAGAAGATTCTAAGAGTTAAATCCCAAACTACAGGAATGACTTTTAAAAACACACAGTCAATATTTGCCAGTGCTATTAATTGAGAGACCCTGTCTCCAAAACAAAACAGAATAAAAACAACAACAACCAACACCATGGTGGGGGACAAGTTCAAGCTCATCCATGGCTACGCAGTGAGTTAGATGTCAGCCTGTAGTACTTGAGACACTGTCTCTACAAAAACAAGAACATCAAAACCAATTCTCATGGAGGATTCATCTTGGGGGGAACCCTAAGAGAATAGAAGAAGAGAAACAGACATTCAGAACTGAAGAAGGAACAGTGAGCATTCATGCAGTTCGGCA